GCTAAATGAAACTTTTTTCCAGGAAAATACAAATGTGTACTTCTAAGATTCTAGGTGAACGGAACTGTATGTTTCAAAGTAGAGGGCAGGAACTTCGAATATCAATGGCAAATTTCGTGAAAATAAAATTTACATGATTAGATTCTTTTATTGATGTTCATATAAACAAAAAATAATCAAATAAATTGCGCAATGGATGCACGGGCAAGAGAAGAAGTTATAATTGCAATGTTAATGTGAAATTTATGATATCACAGTTTATACGGCACTAAATGTGACTCAAAAAATGCAAAAAATGCTTAAGCGTTATAAGGCATATAGATACATAAAGCTCCTTTTGTGGAAAATTATGCGGCAGGTTGAACATTATCACCATTTCCTTTGTCAACATCTGAAAAAAAAACTTTAAATTACTCTAGATTTGATGAAAACATTTTGACGATCACATGATACGCCTTATTCAACCGCAAGCAACATGCAAACGCGAGGTCATTTTTTGAAACTTTTTGATTTACTACTTCGCATTTACCATATGATGCAATACCATCAGTCCTACATTCGGCATCATTACATCATCAAAAGTCACTGAATAATTCTTACAGTACAAAATCAAATCTTTTAGAAAAATCCAACTCGAAGGAACAATGTACAATTTTGGGAAAGACCTCAAATTAAAAAAAAAAACAATAATGCTGAAACCTGGTTGCTTACCCATTTTATCATCATAATCTCCTCCCTTAACAACAGGTTTGTCAGCATCATCATCGCCATCTGCTGGAAAAGCCAATTTTACACGATCTCCGGGATGTTGAGGTGGTGCAACTACTTGAGCTAGAAATGAAGAAACATCATAGCCGTAAATGAAGAGGAAAATTCAAAAAATCTTACGGGCATCCTTCTTCTCATCCTCACTAGTCTTCTCAGCTAAACGAGATTTTTTTAAAAATATTAAGAAGATATAGAACTGAATTTGAAAAAGATTGACTGACCTGCAATGTTATTAGGGACAGGAATTTGTTGAACATTCTTATCCTCGACTGCGCCATTATTCTTCTC